GCGCATCATATTTCTAATGATGGCCTTCTTCGTATTAGAGGGGTGCGCAGAACTGAAATGAATCAGTATGTTCTTACTAGCCGGCTTTCGATACCATTTCGTCTTGAAAGTACCCGCAGTGATCTGATCAGCGGCTCTAGCAGAGTGGCCCTGCACGAACTCGTAATAGACAATATGTCGAAGAATGGCTGGATCCATTTATGACTTAACTGGATCAAAACGTCGCGCGAGGCCCCTATTCACCCGATTTCGAAATCCTCAGGAAACACTTTACAGTGGTCAGGCGCCAAAGCATTTGGAAAGTAAAAATAATCATTCAAATGTTCTCACAATCAATCAATAAATAATTATTCTTCCCAACCTAATAGAATCATGAACATTTGGATGATTATTTGAAACACTGATCATGAAACAAGTAGATCACGAACAGTCATCGTTCAATCATCACCATGAAGGAGAGTTGAAGTTTAGCTCGATAGTGATGATAGCTACCAAGTCCAACAGCTACCAAATGAAGAATAAATAATAAACGAAATGAACTAGTGATCGTGGTGAGATCCGGTACATATGGAATACAAACACTCAAGTGAGTGATAGAAAAGCATGCTCAAAATTGAGCGCCTTATGAATCGCACATCTGAACATTGAGCACTACTTTTCACTAACTTGTTATCAGCAGAAGAGATCATTGTCAACTAGCGGAGCAACCCCTGTTCAAGTCCATCAACGCGGGATGCGTTCGCCTTCTCTTCTACAATCAGACGGTACACATTGCAGTATCCTGGTAAAACCCATTCAGAAATATATTTTCTGGCTTTCATGTCGCTAGAGGGACGTTCAAGTCAGTGCGCTACAATTCTTGGGAATAAGGTTGAGAGGGGAAGGGACTCTGGGAGAGGAATTGAGCAATTTGGGTAGCCCATCACCCCTTTCCCCCATTCGACTGGGCTTAGTATTTCCAGTGTCACCTTGTCGCTGTTTTTTAGTGCATATTTCGAATGCTCCCCTTCAAGGCGCCATGAATGCGTATTATTTCTTCCATTTTATTATATAAACCACTCAGGAAGCGTCCATACTCATCGTCTCGTGGATATCTGAGAATCATCGATTAGAATCTTATACGTGTTGAGTACCCCATATTGGATCTTGAGCGTTGCGTTGCTGCGTGAGTGCAGGGGCGCTATCCACTGTTTGAGGTGTCACCTTAACCGAATACAGTACTACCATATGGAAAGAAGAATTGATGGGGGCAAAAAGGAAGTGATGAAAGCTGCCGGTTTCACTAATGCAAGGGAGGGACTGACCAAGGAAGGCATTCAACTCCCATGGAGCTTTGAATTAAGACCCAGATATATCGATAGAGCTTGCTGATTACAAATGGATACCCTAAAACTGCAAAGATAAACCTGCCAAGGAAGTTGTGTGCAGTCGAATTTGGGTGGAAGTAAAACGTTACATCAACAGTGATTCCTTCTCACAGTCGGAGTGAAGTAGTGGTAGGGCTCTTTCTATGTACTCTGAAAGGAAGAGATCTGATAACTGATAGAGAGCGAGAGCACTACCGCTAGTCCACGGCGGCTCTGAAAGCTCGGAAGGTAGCACGGTCTATATGTGACGTTTTACTTCAAGCTACTTTCTACAGAAGTAGGAGTTGCTGACAGTCACGATTAGAAGGCTTCCATCTCATCACAGACAAGCAGCTCACGTCTCTTTCTATTGAGAATTTTGATCCGATCAATCCACATAAAGCTAGTTTCAGCCATTGGGAGGAGTGCCGAGGCTACGCGACAGACTACAGAATACTCGAAGTTGGCATGAATTTTATAGATTTCAACCCCATCATTGTTAACTGCTACTATTTTATCTTTGTTGTGGTCGCAGTATCTATTAATATGCTGCTTATATATCTTATAAAATATAGGTATGTTCCAACTCCATGTTTACTATGAAATAGATATTGTTAGATTCGAGATGCAAATTTCACATAGTTTTGGTAGGGTAAAACTAACGTTCGAAAACTTGTGTGTCACTTCCCATGTCATATCTACAATTTAGA